TTTGTTCATGCCTAATGTCTTTCTGAATACATCCATCTCACAAATAAGATTTTTTACGTGCTTAGGGAATGCCTGTGTATAAAATTAGACACAAACACGCTGACTGGTGGAAGGGGGGACCACTGCCTCATGCTATGAAGCACTTTAGAACGTGTAGCTTCCCTGTTCCAAACTTATTCAGCCACATTCAGACAAATGAGCAAGGGGGGAACGTATTGTGTCTGATTGTTTCTACAACAGAAGATACACTAGACAACCCAGCATGTAAATATTGTCAGAATCACAAATCAGACTTCAGAATCCATAGGGTTCAGAGAAGACTCTGACATTGAGGTGGCATGGAGGATGCCACAATAACACGGATAGGGACCTAGGGCCATCAGAGGGCCCACACTCCAAACTCTTTCAGTGGTTCTCAACCTTCCTAATGCTGCGACCCTTTAACACAGTTCCTCATGTTGTGGTGACCCCCCAACCACAAAATTATTTTCCTTGCTACTTCATAACTGTAATTTTGCTATTGTCATGAATTGTAATGTACATATCTGATATGCAGGATGTATTTTCATAGTTCGCGACCCACAGGTTGAGAACCGCTGAAACCAGTCTCCCCTCATGGAAGGCAGTTATCAGCCAAGCGCCTTTCAACAACCACAGAGATCTCAATTTCAAAGTCATAGAAGGAGAAATAATAGGGTGAGGGGCAGGCGCCCCACTAATAGTTCTGTGGTGGCAATGAAGAACTCTGAAAGGAAGAAAAAAAGCCTTCAGAAAGAAAGAAAAAAAGACATTTTCATTTCCAAGTCACCTCTCAAGATCTTCTAAAGTAGGAAAACATTAAGCATGGTCCCTAGAAAGGATCTTAGGGGGGTTGTCTGCAGACGGAAGCTCCTTTGATTCGCTTTGATTGGAAAAACTTGGGTCGGGTCGGGTCATGTGATTGAGCACATGCCTATCATTGTGGACTTGGGATATGGGAGTGCACTAATGCGCCAGGCCTCCCACAGTGCGGGAGCATTCAGTTCGTGCTATAGCCAGCCCTCCTGGAGCCAGGGTGTCGCCCCACCTGGTTCACACTGAGAGTGAAACACAGGGTCGGTTCCCCAAAGGACATGCAGGGCCTTCCTACCGAGAAAGGAAAGATGGATGCTGGCCAGGCAACGTCAGCATATGTTCACTAAGTATAAAAATATTAAGTCTGAAAATATCCCTTTTAGGTTTAATGGAGACGTAGCCTCAACAGTTAACTTAAGTTTGAGCTGGATTGAACTAAGAAAGATGAAAAGAAGAGGAAGGAAAGTCATTAAGCATTTCCTTGCATGTTGCCTGTGTCCTCTGAAATTTAAGTCCCATGAAGGCAGGTCCTACTCTGTTTTGTTGTCTTGTTCATGATTACAACCCCAATGCCCAGTGCCTAATGCAATGTGTACTACTTAGCAGGTAACCAACAAACATTTTGTTAAACTTTTTTTAAATTTATTTTTATTTTTTAAATTGATTTCAGAGAGGGGGGAAGGGGAGAGGGATAGATAGAAAAATCAATGAGAGAGAAATATCAGTTGGCTGCCTCCAGCATGCCCCCTACCCGGGCAATGTTATGACCTCTTGGTTCATCATGGGTCAGTGCTCGACAACTACTGAGCCACACCAGCTGGGCTGGTAAATTTTTAAAAACACCTTAGAGATCATTCAACACAAATCTCTTATTTTATAGGTAAGAGAAAAAGAATCAAGATGTGCTGAGCAGGTAGTTTCCAGACAATCTGGTAGGCACTCTATTGACCATCCCATTTAATTTTATCAACTACTTACCTGAGTAGGTTTTATTATATCTACACACACACACACACACACACACATACACACACAACTGGGTTTATGTTGTCAGGATAACCACACCAGGGAACACAACTGGTTAATGGGAGAACCCAGAGTGTTCACCGAAGCAGCCTCTGAAGGACCAGCTCAGAGTAACTGGACATGAACCTGAGAACGGAAGTAATAGAGCCGGAACCCATAGGGAAGAACCCAGGGCTATTATATGTGGTCCCCCGTGTTAAAAGCATAGACACACAAATGAAACGCAATGCCACAACGTGTGACAAATATGCTCTCCTCTGCCAGCAGCCTTCAGCTCCCTAATTAGAAACAAACAGTCGCTGCCTGCAAGCCGGTGTGCGGAACACACGTGCAACTTTATGCCAGAAACTTGGATTTTTTTTCTCAAGGCATGACACTGAAGGTAAATTCAGAGAGGCTCCTTGCAGGGCACAGAAAGCAGAATTTCCTCCCACGTCTTGCATGAAACCAACAGCTCATCTCTACAGATAGAGACATCTAATCAGCTAATGAACTTGAGCCCACAGCAAGCTGCTCACCAGAGACCCTTCGACAATGGTGACAGCGAAACCCCCTGTTCTGTATCACTCACCTCCTCCCAACTCTCCTTTTCATGGATGCTGAGCTGCTGGGTTCCACAGCCATAGTCAAAATTCTCTCGAGCCACGGCACCGCCGGTGTTCCCAAGCTGCAGATCTGGGTAGCTTCACCAGCCTGGTCTCTGTTTAATAACATAAGGGGAGGCATTCGCTCGCTGTCCTATGCCAATATGAAAGGCACCTCAGCCATCAGTGTGACAAGTGAAATGCTGGAACGGAGCCAGGAACAAAAGGGAAGAAATGTGGATTCTTACCAAGGCAGTTGATACCATGTTTTAAAGGGCAGCAGATGATGAAGGGGGAAAGCAGGCAGAGTCGGTGCCCCGCGTTAAAAACCTTGGATCCTTCCCTGAATGAGTCAGGATGAGCATTTTGTTTGGAAATGGAATTTCTTTCTTTCTTTCTTTCTTTCTTTCTTTCTTTCTTTCTTTCTTTCTTTCTTTCTTTCTTTCTTTCTTTCCTCAGCTGTAGGATGGTTCACACTCAACTAGTCAAGGGGGCTGCTGTAAATAACAGGATCTATTTTTGAGGCTTCGGATGAAATAAGAACCTTGAGTTTCTCCCTAGGGTTATTTATAGCTCAAAATGTGTTTTTGTTTTTTTTTTTTTTATTTCATGTGATTTTGAGAACTGACTGATATGTCTACCTCTGGTGTTTCAATACATGCCTGAGATGAGTTGTGTTATTGGAAAGCAGAGAGCAATGCTCTAAGAAAGCCCTTCTAATCTGCTAAGAGTTGAGAGAACTATATGTCACAAGCTGCTGCAGGGAACACACTTCCACTGTCTGTCATTCTTCTGTATGAGGACCCCATTTGACCCCTGGTATCTCTAAAGCCATCACTAACCAATTATGCTAGGAAGGGGCGCCTTATACTCTTGCCTACCTGTAGGTGGCATTAAACTCCCTCTAGCAGCTGAGCCTAGCTTGTCTTCATGGCATTTTTAAAAACCAGAGGCAGAGAACTCTTTCTTTCTGAGATTTTACATTTGACCATTAGTGATAGCTTAAAAGACACTAAATCAACTCTATTATTTTCAAGTAAATTATTCCATTTATCTCTTAATTAGGTCCCTCAGTCATGCCCCTCAGCCTCATTTTCCCCTTGTGAAAAAGAAGGTGTTTTGAATTGAACTCCATCTCTGGGATTCTGGTTTCCATCTATATGATGTCTGCCCAGCCACACCACTCCTGGTGTTTGTGATAAACTCATTAAGACGCCATTCCTTCGGGTTTAAGGGGTGTTCGCATGCAACCCTTCCTGAGTGGCAGAGTCTGCTATTTGCCTAGCCTATACTCACTTTCGTTTGTTTTTCCTTATTAAGAATAGCAGTTTTGTGGGAGGTGGCAATGTGCTCAGCCCCCAAACCCACATTTTGCAGCCTTGCTTGCAGATGGGGTAGTCATGTGATGAAGATCCAATCCTGCACTGTCTCATATGGTAGCCACTAGACACATATAGCTACTTACATTTAAATTTATTGACATGAAGTCAAATTTAAAATTCATTTCCTCAGTGACACTAGCCACATTTTATTTTTTTAAAACTTGTTTTTATTTATTTTAGAGAGTGAGGAAGGGAGAGGAAGAGAGAGAGAGAAACATCATCAACGTGAGAAACATTGATTGGCTGCCTCCTGCAGGCCCCCTACTGGGGATTGAGCTGGCAACCAGGGCATGTGTACCCTGACTGGGAATCAAACCTGCGACATTTTGGTGTTTGGGATGACACTCAACTAACAGATCCACACCGGCCAGTACACATTTTAAATGCTAATAGTCACAAGTGGCTAGTAGCTACCACCTTGGATAGTTCTGATACAGGACATTCCCAGCATCACCGAAAGTTCTGCTGTACATGCTGGTCTTGCCATTGAGATGTCAGTGGAAGTTATAGGGCAGTTTCCATGATCATCTTAAAAGGGAGGGAGATCCTGACTCAGCTGGCCTGTTCCTTTATCCCCTCCTCCCCCTGACCCCTTCTTTCTACCTAAAGGAGAAGGTGGGTCAACCATCACGTGACTGTGAAGCAGCAGGCATTTGCTAAAGCAGGATAAGCAGAAAGATAAAAGGAACCTGGGTCTTGATATCATGAAGGCAGGCAGGTTATCATCCATTTTATTATGAGGAAAATAAAGCCATTATTTTCAGCTTTTTGTTACTAGCAGCCCAATATTACTTCTAACTGATAGATCTTCAGAAACTTACCTGGACAATTTTCTATTAATGGCTTTGGATAAGCAAGTTGCTTTCCAGTTTCCTTTTCCTTTAGACAGAGCTGGGAACAATATTTTGGTTAAAAGAAACAAAACAATCTACATTCCTACCAAGAGACAATTATTAGTCATTCCTTTAAATATGCAAGTGGGCCAAAAGGGGGG